CCTTTCAACTATAATTCAGAGTAAGCCACAACCACACAAGTGTTCTTTTTCCCACATCAGTATCTCAAGAAAAAACTTTCTTGATGAAATTCCTGATAAAAATTACATGTAAACAAACACTAGGAGCATGTCACAATTGGTCCTAGTACTTGAGAAACTACATGAAAAAGTAAAAGAATAAGTCTGAAAGCAATAGCTCATCATGAAAGTATTTTCTTATTCTTAATTGTAAAGTGACTGTAGTTATGTGAATAAGAAAATAAAAAAAATAATTCAAGCATATTTCCACTCACTTTCAGAGAGGACTTTTTTCCTTAATTTAGAACTATATTTAATATCAAATAAAGGAATGCAAGGTTTATCAGAAATTGAACACCCATGGATCATGGGTGATTCCCAATGGTATTCTCACACATTTTAATGGTACAAAATATTATGACAACTCTGTGAGAAGAGTAATAATTAAATAAAAAAGCTCAACCAAAACAAAGGCAGCATGTTAGCACTTTAAGGAGGTAAAGGTGATGGTGAGAACTTAATGAAATATTCACAAATGTTAATTATTCTACATACAGAGAGTGATTTCCAACAAGGTAACATTCCCAACCTTCTTCAGCAGTGTGGATAGGCTAGCTAGAGATGCACAGTTTAGCTTTCTGATCCTGCATAGGATTTACAAAGTTACAGAATCATAGAATAGTTTAGGTTGGAAGGAGCCTTTAAAGGTCATCTAGTCCAACCTCCCTGCAGTGAGCATGGACATCTTTAACTAGATCAGGTCTGTCTCAGTGGGAAAGAAAACAATCCTGTCTCTTCATCAGAAAACTGAAGGATAAAAAAGATTAATAAAGAATGCTATTTTACCACCATTTTGAAATTAGAACCATATCTAACAGCTAAAGGGAAGACTAGGCTTCCCTAACACCATGGTTTTCACATTGTGGTCTGCAGACTTCTCCAGCCTCTAGCCTAATTAATTCCATGGAGTCTGTGAAAAGTAACCAACACAAACAAGCCTAGCAATCAGTGTCCACTGCAGAGTTTGCATTTCCATAAGGAGAAATGTTAAGGATTGACAAATAAAATGACTGTCTGTCCTTTCCACCATCTGACAGAAGAATTCTGTTTTTCAGACTGATGCAAATGCACATTTATATAATATACAGCTATTCATCCCATCTATCTCAACTACTTCCCCCCTCAACAGCCTAGAGTATATTCTGATGCCTTTGATACCAACTTTAAATTTGTCTTTGTCATTTAAAGATCATAACTCCCCACCGTACTTCCAGTCTACAACACCTTCTCCAAAATTCTGAGTCAACAAATAATACTCTCATATAATTAAGACATTATTAAAAAGAAACAAACAAACTTCTCAAGCTAGAAGTGTTTCTAGCTAGGTGCCTAGCTAGAAAACTAGAACCACCAGTAAGAAAGACCAATAAAAAGTAGGAAGAGAGCAAGTTATATGAAATGTCTCTGCTGAAAGTCTCACTCCACATATAGTGTTAGTTAGTGGGTAAACTTAAGTCCAACACATTGCCAGTAGCAAGTGACCAATTTTAAATGTAACAGCCTAAATTCCCCAAAGTCTTTTCTCTTTGTAATTGTTAGAACAAACAGTTAACCAAATCAACTTACCATACAGGTACGGGAGTTTTCTCCTATGAATGAATCTCTTAGCACCTGAGTAAGTTTACTTGCTCTGAAGGGTGTATGAGGTTTATTTCGGCCTAAAGCTCTAATGCACTCCTGAAAGAACAAACAGGTTTATGCATTCTTCTTTAACATGGGCTGAATAAATATAATACAAATGCAATTCAAAATCAGAAAATACATGCCTTAGTTATGTTGTTGTCCCCTAAAATATCATTAAAGTTTATCATTAAAGCTTGAATCCAAGAAGTGTTAGGCCTTTACCTCTCATTAAGTTCAAGAGACAGGTAGGAACTTAAAAAGGAGTCAGGAGCCTAAAAACTTTCTGAATCTCATCCAAAATGTTTACATCTACTGTATCCAACAATAACAACAAAATAAAATAAAAAAACAATGTTGATGTTAAATGTTCAGACTAACAGTTATTTCTGATTATCAGCTTCAAGAGTTGGACTGATCTCCAACCTTCACCAGCAGAAGTAGCGTGGACAGGGACACATGTTAACTCTATCAGTTAAAATCAGTACCTTTGATGCTGTCTCTACCACTGACTTTCTTTACAGCTCAGAAGAAAACAAACTTTCTGAGAGCTTCCACAGGTCACAAATCTAGCAAGTATAGCTCTCTATTCATGTACTTAATAGTGGAAGACACCTGAAAACAAAGTCGTTCCCTGTTTTAAAATACTCTTCATATGAAAACATAGGGTAAGGTCTCCTCTTTCACTCACAAGGGTATGGGGCTAAACTAATATTTGCAATTGGTTAGAGAGTTCCAGTGAGAAATACTGTACAGATGTAAATATTATGAAATCACTATAGAAGTTTCAGCAGCAACTAGGTACAACAGTGCAAACCAAGATCGCACTAATCTAAACATCACTTCTGCCCACTCAGAGCTCTAACATCAGCTAATAAATTACTTCTCAAGCAAAGAAAGTTTAAAATCAAATTTCCATGTTGTTGTTGTCGTCATATTTTGATCGTTAATTCCAATTTCTGCCTTTGCCTTAATACTTTGCGTACAGGCATCTCTTCAGATGGCTTCCTTAGTACAGTTTTAACACATCTACACACAGAACTTCTTCAAACAACCATACTTCAAAAGCTTTCCAAATTAGAGCTTTGCTTTTAGCAGCACTAACAGATGGAATGGCTTTTGTGTTACATGAATAGTTCTACAGTAGTTCAGCTAATCCTCCAGCTGCAGCCATGTCCTTGTGGCCTTTGAAATTCCCTATAAACAGCTTCTTCCAAAAGCCAGGCTAGAAACTGTGGGATGATAATCCAAGAAAGCATTGCAACTGCAAAACAGCATAAAACAGAACTCGAAATGGACTCAGAATAAAACTGCCATGATACAGAACAGAACAAACACAAGGACAAGTTGGCTTTAACTAGTGATTACTTAAAAAATGCACCAGCTAAATTTTATAGAATGGACATAGCTCAGATAAACAGAACGAAGGAAGCTTGTTGAATGTGGATTTCACATGCAAATGCTAAAAAGGACTCAGTACTTACAGGTGAGAAAGGCAAGCATTCCTTGAATTTTTTGAATTTGTACATTAATACTATATTTACTCAAGGAGAAAAGCAGATTAGACAGGAAGAGGGGCAACAGATTTTCAACAAATGACATTACAAACTAAAAACAGTAATAAATATACATGTTGAATTACTGATATGGCAACCAACAAGTTTAATTAAATATTTTAACTTACTATAATGATTTTTAATTTGCTTAACTCCTGAAAAATTAGAATTGGATTATCTCCTTATTAGTAAAAGGATTATTGGAGGACACTGCCAGCTTCTAAATTAATGGAGTTTTTAACTACTTTTGCTCTTCATCACAGCTCAGAAAACCAGGTAACAAAATGACAACACTACTTCAATCTAGAGACTTTACAGAAATAACTTCCTGTACCAAAAATCTGAACAGGTTAAGACAAGGCTGATATCCAGATGCAAACAGCAAATCTTGGATTAGCACCAAAGACCACTCCGCAGAACATAATAGTTTAATAATTTGAATTTAACAATAACTTCAAGGGTCTTGAATACAAATGGAAAAAGCTGTGTAATGTTTTCAGGGATAGATGAAAAATGGAAAATTAATGTATCATTGAGAAACTTCTATCTTCTTGTACGGCTATTTAGACCTCTGCAAGACCCCCACTTATTTTTATTTCCCCTTCTCCATATAATTTAGATCACAACCACTAGTACAGCAGCAGCAGAAGCTTTCACTATAATTAAAAAGACAAGTTGTATGAAAATGGACTAATTATGTTGTATGGGTATCGCACTGATGGCACTAGCCAGTACAAAATCAACAAGTAAACTGGAAAAAAAAAAAAACCAAACACAAACCCAAAAAACCAAACCAAACCCAAACCAGCTTTGTTCAATTACATTTGGAAAAAAGTGATAATGTCAACACAGTATTGCTTGCATTATTTACTTTGATGCTAAATCAAAACAGGCCACAGTTTTGGAACTGCTGCTTCCAACTTTTCAACATGCCATACAATTATGTAATGACACATTATACGTTACAATTTTGTGGTATTTTGTGAGATCTGCTTAGAGTCAGCCACAAGTCTTCTCCCAAGTTTATACTAGGGATAAAAAAATAAGCACAGTGATTTGGGGGTTCAGATTCTTTATATAAAACACAGTGCTCGTGCTGAGAGTAGTAAACCTAAGCAAAATTAACCAACAACAGAGATAAGTTCTGAGGCATTCAAAACTACTGTTTCCTCAGCTGAGACCAAAAAATTACTTTCCCTATTTAGACTGAACCTTTTTTGAGCATAATAAAACAAACACTAAAAAGGCATATGAATATTTAAATATTATTTCTTAGCTCTCTTGATATGTCCTGGATTAATGTATGAAAACCTGTAAAGTGACTGTATCAGACAATTTGCGATAAAGGAGAGTAGTCAAAAATGGATTCCAACTTCCAAGGGTTATTCATTTGTTAGTTCTTTCTGGATATGTTGCTGTTGTGTTGCTTTAGTGAATTAATTAACAGCAGTAAATAAATATGTCATAAAGGTAACTTTATATTTTATTTAAAAAGAAAAAAAAACAACACTGAGATTAGTAAGACTATTTCCAGCTAGTATTTCAGACCTTGAGTACCAAAGTAAGTCATCTGTCCTGCCACTTTAGATATGTATCAGAAAAGTCTTCAAATTCAACTACCAGGGACTTTTTGTTGACTTTTTTTTTTTTTTTTTTAAACTACATGCAAGTTGACAATGTTTCTGCAATATTTCTACTTCATAATTACCAAGCGTTCCTTCAGGCATTTAGAGGAAAAATTAATAAATTATTTTACCTGTCACATCAGTAGACAATGTAGACAAGCAAAGCCTGCAGAAACACTTTGTTTTAATAGTCACTGCTATTATACCTAGAAGGCTTCCACCTACTCAAAGGCAATGGAAACATTTCAGTTACCTTCAGTGCTAAAAGGCTCTTGTTAATTTCCGCACCTTCCAGTCGAGTCTGCCTATCTGCACTGGAAGTATCTGCTCCTCTTTCATTGCCAGCCAAATCAATCAGAGAAAATTTACCATGCAATTTCCCTTTCCTTCTGAGAATAATCTGAAACACTGCATGGCTTCGAGATGAGTGTGCATTTGCAGATGTCTGGCCAGACGTCCTTTAAACAAAAGCAGAGAAGGGAAGGATATATGAACAGGCGAAGGACCATACACGTTAAACACACTAACTGCAGAACGTTACTTTTTTCAGGGCAGAGTCCTGTATTTTCTTACATGTGTTGACAGCATGTCTAACGTTCCTGTGGACACTAGAGATACAACCCTAATAACTGGATGTACATAGTACAATTATACCTCTTTTTCCATGTCTTCAAACAGAAATGGAAGATTAGTAACATTTTACCTCCCTTCTAAAAGCAAGAATAATCAGATCTTCAAAGACTTCCGATTATCAGAGATCTTACATGTAAAATGCTGATGGCATTTTATCTGATCAGGCAGCAGTCTATGCACAAGGCTAATTTTAAAAACTATGAAGCTGGATTCTTAAAAAAAAAAAAAATTTACATTTAACCTCTGTCACTATGTATCAAGGCCTTTTAGAGCTGAAGAATCTGGCAGTATTCCTGATTAAAAATGATGTGAATTTAAGTCAGTAAGCTGCTTACATAATGCATGCAATTCACATCCTGTAGAAAAAGCAGTTATTTCTCTCTAGGAGACAGTGAAACACTAAATAACTTTATTTAAAATGTAGGGAGATCCCTTACGTGCAGCCAACATCGTCAAAAAACCCACTGCATATTAAAAACTATCACTATGAAGAGACGCCAAAAAAATCTTGTTCTGATCCTTCAACATACAATGAAAAACTGGTGTAAGCTATGGGAGATACCTGCAGCTGTTGCCTATTTCAATAAGCTTAAGAACATCTTCAACACATTTGACTTCCCGTTCCTGTAATCCCACCACCTGGACTTGCTGTTTACCATCTTCTAACACTCTTAGTTTTGTCTTCCTGTTCAACAAGTCAAAAACCTTAGGGAGGGGAGGAAAACAGAACAGTTAAAGAGGAGCTTTAAAAGACACTTGTTTCAAATCCCATATGCAAATACGCAAAGCATTGCATGGGAAACATGATTGGAAGGGAAGTGTAAAGAATTATTTGAAACAAAGCTTTTAGTACAAAGAGGGAAAAAATCTTTCATGTGACAAACTCAAAATCTTGTTTGCAAAAGAGAAATTCCCCCTTCCTAAGCAAAAGATCAGGTATTTACCTTACCACTGTAGATCTCAAAAAATGTTGCATATACTTGAAGTTCTAACTTCTTATAGTTTGGTTTCTTTAGCATTAAAAAGACATCTCGAGCTGTGAATACATTTCCAGAACAAAAAGAAATCTCATTATGTATTTTCATTTAGTGAAGACTCATTAATGCATAACAGTCTATTTTATAGCATCTATCGTATTTTGCAAGTATAACAGATAGGGTCAGTCAACCAAGTCTAAAACATTGCAGTTTAAACTGCCACATTACAACGGAAGATGCAGAAGACCCCAAAATTGTAAACTTAATTAATCTTCCATTATATTTATTACATCTCTTGAAGTAATCTACATATACATTTACTTCACTGGGTAAAGACTACACACCTAGGAACCACTTTTGATGTCACCAAAGCTCCACTGTAATGCAAGTCTTACCTGCAAGTGCATATATTCCTTTAGAACAATCTTGGTTCTTTCCTGAAAAGTCACCACCCATAGTCTAAATTAAAAAAAAAAAAATCACTATAAAAATCACAGAGCTGTAACTTATGTATTTGTTACTTACTAGAACTTATCTAAGTGTATCATACTTAAAAAGAAGTGTATTGCTGATATGTACAAGAAATACTTACATGGGTTTTTCCACTGCCTGTTTGCCCATATGCAAAACAAGTGGCCATTCCCCTTTCAAATATGGTCTCCACTAACGGTCGAGCTGTAAACCTTAAATGCAAAAAACAACAGTACTTAAGAAACTGAATTACTTTAAGATGCCACTACTACAAGGATGTTATACATTTTAAGGCCAGAAGTGACAAAACTGGTCCTGTACTTTGAGAGGCCAAAGGACATCTCTACATTAATTCCTGAACTAAACAGACTACCAGTTCTAAGGTATCAAAATACCCCAATCAATCAAATAAAAGCTACAAGGTCTCACCTATTTATTTTACAACAATATTAGCCTCCTTTAAACCATAAGAAAAAAAAAATTCCCTTGTTTTAATGATGCAACACATCACAGCTTACTATACGGAGTTTCGAGCTCCCTGAAGAAGACAGAATTAGCAGACATCGAAGTTGGACAGTGGAGCAGAGAAATACTTAGGTTTTGCCAATACTAAAATTCTGCTATAGTTTTGGGGTTTTTCTCCCCAAATCAGCTCCCAAGATTAAATTTAGAAGACAAATGGCCAAAACATTGCACATCTTAATATTTTGAGAATGTACATACACCGAGAAAAGGCTCAAGAAACTGGATACCCAAGCTTTTCAGAATGGAAAAATCTAGTTATCCCTGAAGTCTTATTTGATGTTTGCTATTTGCTATTTTAGAGAAGTATTTTTGACTTTAAAAAACATAGAGTTGTTGTTCCTGCTTCAGCTGCTTATCACCATGATTTCACGATACACTCCAAAAGCAAAGAGTAAACTAATGGTGGGTTACCAATAGAGGTATCTCTACAAAAGTCTCACTTTCTGAACTTTTTCCAGGTGTTTATACATGAAGTATCTTTAAGTGACAGAAACAGGAACAATTGTTTACAGAAGCAGGGAGGTGTTACACCTCCTTTCATTCAACTTTCAAATAAATACAAGATCACTTACAAAACTAGTATGGGCAAGACAGAGCCATTCAGCAACCAAGGATTATGCAAAAAGCTAAGTTTAAGTGAATCATGAATTTTCATCAAAAATATACAAGATGATTCCTGATCAGCCTTAGTCTTTCCTTTTTGCTTCTTCTAAACACATACTTCCTTTACGCTCAAAAGGATATTCCTATAGTTTGATGTTTGTTTTTTTCATATATAAAATACAAAATTTCACAAAGCCTATCCACCTAAGAAGCACACTCCATTATCTCTGTTTAATTGAGTTTGAAATTATTTCTTTTGCTTATCTATAAAGAAGGGACTTAATTATTTCTATTTTGAAGTAAGACAAAATACAAACATATCTAGAAAACTTTTCATAAAGTATTACACAAGTCCAAATGGTACCATGCCAAAACCATCCAACTTTATGTTTACTAGAACCTTTATTGCAATCTTGATCTTTCAGAAATGTAAACTCTCGTTCTCCTTTAAAATTCAAAAGGTGTACCCGTTCAAACTAGTGCATGTTTTTTAATACTAACAAAAACTTGCAACTCAGTGTTGCAGCTCATGGAATAAACAATACTTAAAATACATCTTAAGCATAATAATAATATTTTTAAAAGAGTAGTATTTCTCTCTCTCAAACTGAAGAATGTTTTTCAGTATAGAAACACGGTGAGTAATTTTAGCATATTGGAGAAAACTGGAGTAACTTGCCACGCTATTTTTTTCCCACTGTGACTCTGAAGTTCTAGTGAAAGCAGCTAACAATACCTATTTGCTCTTTCTTCTGTTATTACAGGAGACCTTGAAGCAGACTGCCCTTGAAATAATAATCATTATTGTGCCATATGAGGGAGAAGGAGAAAGCCTGTACTACTACACAGACTAGAGATTTACTGTTTCAGTATGAATACTCTTCACTTTCCAAGCATAAGGAAAATCATCTTCATCAATTTCCTTTCCAATATCAATATTCCCTGCAAAAAGCTTCACAGTATTTAGACTGCATACCAAGATTATGACCTTCATGGTGTCTAACCTTGCCTGCTACTGAATCTACTCCATTTTGTGACTTGTACAAGGTAAATAGCTACATCTAAACACATTCCTAAAAGCACTGTGTGCATTATTCTGTGCCAGCTGTGGAACTGAAACAAAGAATAAAGGAGAAAATGGAGATCCAAATACCTTGGCGCTGAAAGTGGACATGTGTCTTTGTTGATGTCAGTTTTTAAATCAGAAAGATTCAGCATTTTGAGCAGGATATCTTAGCTCCATGCCCATCTGTGTCACATCTGCCAGATTGCTTCCAGCAGCCAAGCTAGCTCAGGTATCTCAGCCATACAGCAATGTAACCTCTCTCACTTTCATTGTACTCTTTCCCCACCCTCTCTTGATTTGTTTCTATCTCTTAATTATCTTATATTCAAACTGCAGACTCTTTGGGGCGGGGGCTGTCCCTTTCTTCCAAGTTTCCTGAAGACTAAAAGCCATGACTCAGGTTCCTCGGGTGCTGCATGCACACTAATTAATAAGGTAATAACTCTGAGGCAAATGGAGAGCTCATGAAGTTCAAATATTCAGTAGCTGAGGAGGCAGGCAATACACACTAGAGCCTGGAAACCAACAGGGCTTGGAGGAGGACTGAGGTCAGCAGAGGTGGAGATAACATTGCAGGTGAAGAATTCAGGATAAAGAGTTAAAACAAAAGTAAACAGGCAAAAGAATGGAAGTGGCAATATACATATCCGGTAACACAGAGAATTGGAGTAAAGTCCATAACCAAGGTAAGCACACAGTTATTGACATGGAAGAGACATGAGAAAAACGATTCACAAAAAAAACCATATGCACATACCTGTAAACCATTTCATTAGGAGCCGTGTCATCAAAGGCATAATCAAAACGAAAAGTTTGGTTTTCTAGGTACCTTGTTAAATCCACCTTTTGTTTTGGTTCATGTACCATCACAACATCTTTACTGGGAATTGTTATTACGTCAAGGTCTTTCATTAAAGTTTCTATAAAAGAAGTGAAATACATATTTAACTAGCAACACATCATTATTTTTTACAACACATCATTATTTTTTACATTTTTTCACTGTTTACACTCTTATAACATCTCAGATAACACAGCTCCTCCAAGTAACAACACTGCAATGGATTTGGGTTTCCAATGCCTAGACAATAATCTGCTAAGTAAGAGATTTCATTTTGGAAGTCTAGGCATCCTATTCTACCGATTGCTAGAAATTAAAGAGAGGTTGTACAAAGCTGATTAGAAAAACTAAGATCAGTAATTATAGCACTATTGTTGTAGCTTGTTATGTATTCTATAATAACACTTTCCATGGATTTGAGTTCTTTTTCCTCAGGGCTTCTATACTGTTTTAGAGATTACTGTCGTATTCTTTGAGTTTTTATAAATAACTTTTCTACTGGAGAAACTGGACACTGAAAGTCCTACACTGCTTGGACTGTCAAACTTGAAAACACAAAAAAATTAATATCCTTATGATAATCTGCTTTATTTTAAAATGTTATCTTTTTATTTTCCTTAAATCCTTAATATTACAGTCATATGTCCACAGCTTTCAAAAAGAAACATTTTGCTTTCATTCTACACAGACATTTTCATTTGTGTATTCCTCCCAGAATCTGAGGTATACATCTTTAATAGAGAATTTCTCTAAAGTAAAATCCTTTCTAAAAATTACCTTGTAAGCACAAAAAGCTGAAAATGCTAATGATAATTTCTATCACGGGGAATGAACAAAAGCCAACTAGATGCAATTTCAACAGCAAGATCCCAGGTTATAATTACTACACAGCACTATTATTTACTATTAATAGTTGTATGAGATACGAATCAGCAAAACAGAGAACCCAGTGATCCATGATATGCACAAAAATAAAGATGCTTTGTGTGTACAGTCAGGATCACTAATGTGTCCTACTTGCATTTCCATGTATAATTTCTTAAAGCATGCAGTTCAAGAATTTGATGTGGCTTTATACAATCAGATAGAAATCTTGTCATTGGTTAACATACCAATCAAACAGTACAATGGTTACCATTGCAAGACATCACACACCAACAGCAATATGCATTCAAGACACTATATAATCAATTTTTCAACTGCACTGCAATAAAATAAAATGCAATTATTCTGCAGTAATTGCAAAGAATAAATAAGGAACAGTGATGAAGACAGATATATGATGGTCAGTTCTTTACAGCAAAGGCTTTTTAGTTTAAGCAGTCAAAGGCTGATTTTTCTTAAATAGTTGTTTGGAATAAGACATTTACCTGCTCCCAACTATTTGTTATGACAACTTGTAATCCTTGCTGATGAACATTTGGAATAGTGTCTCTGAAACCCACCATAGATTTCTCAATTATAAATATACGTCACTGAAATAAAATCTGAGAATGTCAATCTGAACACCTACTTCCTGCAAAGTCAATCCACAGAATGATTCGTGCTGAGAACATCTAAAGATTTTGGTGATAATTCTCTGTTTGTGAAACTACCAAAATAAACTAATTTTATTTTTTCTCTTCAGGGGGTTACACACTAGTATCTTTTATTCTTTTATACTCTTCAATTTTAAAAGGTGGCATAAGAAATACCGTTTCTTCTGAAGTGTGTGTTTTCAGAAGACTGTGTCATGTGGGTACTAGACGATCTCTATGGTTCATGCCCCACATAGATTATTTCATTCACACCTTTTTACTGTAGCTTATTCTTAAAAATGCAAAGTAACTTTAGTGCCAACCTCATTTTTCCTTAGACACTCCTACAAACACCCCTGAACTATTTTTTTAATAGCTCCAAACCATTAATACTTAAGATATGCAACTTTCACAAAATCAAATCCTACTTCTGAATCCCAGCTCACACCCCAAGACAACTTGCTTTCATCTACTGTAATTTCACTTTGTCCACCTTCAGAACAGGTAGAAGGTGATGCTTCCCCAAAACGTATCAGATTTCTAAGTCATATTTTATTAAAGATAACCTCCAACGCTGAAAGAGAAATTTAACTGCTACCAGACTTGTGGGTTGAACGCCTTTATTAAATAGGCTGTGCAAAATAATTTCACTTAACCAATATTTGCGATTATGCATTCCTTTCAGATCAATAAAAGGAAAAAATACAGGGAATAAGAGAACAGTGAAAGAAAAAAATTAAGTAGGGGAAGCAGCAACATGGAGGGAAAAAAAAAAGAGCAAAACCTAACTATATACTGATATCAATATATGTTTTCCCTTTCCCATACAATTCTCCCATTTTCCTCTGGATATGCTCTAGGTAATCCTCAATGTGTAGTTCTGACAGTACAAAAATAATAAATGCATCCCAAGTTGTTTCAGAATCAGAGTGATGTTCTTCGAATCTTTTAGCTAAACAAAATATAATAGAAAAAGAAGGAAAGAAACACCTGTCAAAACACAAGTCATCTTACTTAAGCCCTGGATTCAGACAGGCTGTAATCCAGAAGCATTTGCATCTTAATTTCCTGCTG